TTCGCCAGCTACATTGGACCCCTTTGAGGCTGCACCGCCGGCTGGGCACAAGATTTTGATCTTCAGTGCAGAGTTCCACCCGGATGGTTGGAATTTGAGTGGAGTCTTTGTCGGTCAGTCCTATGTTTTTCGTGATCAGTTTGAGGCTGCCGGCATCTATGGAGCACGTGTCGAAGGATCTGATGAGTACTGCCGCGTTTTGCCACAGAGGAATGTTGGAGCTCAAGAAGGAAGGGTCTGATTTTTGAACCTCATTTTAAATGATGTTTTTGCAGGTTTGGTCATGCAAATTCGTGTAACAATGTCTCCGGCGGCTGACTGCCTCAGCTTACTTTTGGACCAGCCCCAGATTTCTTTGAAGCAAACGACGACAGTGGGATGAGGCTCTGAGCAGTGTTAAAGTGAAATAGCTATTCGAAGTGATACATAAATCGTTTTCATGCTTCATGCTTTAAGCCTTGACTACAAGTTGCCAAAATGGCTTTACGAGGCGCATATTTGAGGCTTTACGATTTTGTAAGAAATCTTTCGATAGGAATTTCTCATATAGTGCTGTTGTTCTTGCTTCTAAATCTCACTTGCTTTTGGATCCACCTCGGATTTCTTTGAAATATTTTGATACTATTTCCATTACACTCCCATTTTTTATTTATCGCAATCCATACCGCCGTATGACTGAGGCCATTACTGAGAGGCCACTGCTGAGAGAAGAACACCACTGTCTCCGCCTGGGCGCTAGGATCCCAATAATTTAATATTTTCTTTATCGCAATCCATCGGAGGCTTCGAAATAACTTCGCAAATCTTTATACACGCTGAGATTTTGACAAAGCGACCAAAGGCACGATCATATCGGATAATTTATAATAAATATATCTAATACCACAAAATAATAATTATTAATTATAAAATTTAAATTCAATCGAGAATGGTCAGAAAACCAAAATATTTTGTCTATCGCAATCCATCGGCGGTTTGTTTTCAACAATTACAATAAACATATCGTCAATCTATGTATATACTAAAATAATGAAACGGCAAGTCCATGAATGCACAAATAATAATACGACAAATATATGAAGTACGATAAACTAATAATTATCGACGATGAACTTTGGTTTTACCCAAAAATAGTCAGAATGCCAAATTATTAATATCCTAAAATTCGGATATCCCCAAATCAAGTATTGCGATGCGAATTATTCTACCAAAAATTACGATTAAATCGATTTCCCAAAATACCAATTTTTAAAAAAAATTTGCGGTTTAGTTATTTTAAGAAATTCTTAAATTAGCCACTTTAAAAAATTCCTAAATCGCCAAATTTCCGTAAAAATTCAATTTCGTCCAAAAATTTAAGATTTAGCATAATTACATAATATATTAGATCAATTCCGGGCACACATATCGGGTTTCCGACAAATATACCTATTTTTTCAATAAAAATCACATTTTATATAATAAAAATAAAAAAATAAATAAATATATCTTAATTAAATTTTAATTTATAAAATTTTCCTTCAATTCAGCAAATAATTAATAATTTTATAAATTATATTTAATACAATTTAAAAATTATTTATTATTTTATTTTTTTCATATTATTTTATATTATTATTATTTTGTTTCCAAAAAAATTCGGTAAATAACTAATATAAAAAACATTTCCAAATTAAATATAATTTTTATTTTTTAAATAATTTAAATTTCGAAATTAATATATTTTCCTATTTTCCGTATATATATAAGTTATTTTAAATAAATATAATTTATTAGAATTTTCGTTTTAAATTTATTTTCCCATTATATGCTAAATATTGCAAATATTTAAACAACATATTTCCTTATTACAAATATTTAAATTTACATAAATTTATCTGTTTCGAGCCGCAACTTATAGTTTTTTTTTGGGTGCTTAGGTCCTATATACTAACTTAGGGTACCTATACAGTGTATATGCGGGCCTACGCCGTGTGGAAGGTCGCCTTCGCAGAAGTACATAACAACAAATTGCCTACGCGAGCGCCTACGCAAGTCTTTTTAACTGTTGTGCAAAAGTCAGACGCTTGAAGAGCTTGATGACAAAGAAGAAGAAGAGGAACCAGGTTCAAAGTCAGAATGTGGTTTCAAAGCTGCTGCCTATCGACGCTTCTTGGTTGCAGCCTTTTGTAATCGAGCAGCAGCGCGCGACAACAAAACATCAACCTCATTGTCGGCATCATGTTGTTGTGGGGGACGGGCATGTTTTTGCGCGAGGTGTCTGCGGACAAGTTCGTTGATGTCACCTGGTTTTGGTCCTTTTTGTTCCCATGGGCGTTCACCTTGCCAGAAGCCGCGTCTCCAAGCTTGGGGCATAGGTTGGTCTTCTTCATCGCGATCGCGAACCTCTACGTGCCAGTGTCGAAGCAAGTCTCCATGCGAGTCGCTGAATACATTGTTCCTGATACGAAGTCCATTGGGGGCATTTTGAACTAGTTCTGCGTGCAAGCAATATGTGCGTGTGATAAGGAAGTCAGGGCATTGGAAGAAACTCCTTGTCAAAGGCCTGTCCTCTCCGGGATCAAATTTCATAATGTGAAATTTCGGACCTTGTGGGTCAGTGTCAACCATGTCTTGGGCTCCTTTCTTGTAGCATTGCAGTAAGTCTTGAATTCCATAGATGGGTTTGTTTTGCAAAAAGGATTCAATCCACGCGCAAGTCCAGCCGAAAAGCTGGTCCACTGGGCCTTTACCATGCTGTTCACCGAGAAAATGTAGAGTGACCTTAATTGGAAAGGATTGTTGCGGGGTATATGTTGGGATGGTTTGAAACAAAAAAGAAAAAAGTGTTCTAACCCAGCTTTGGAGCATTTACTTTCCATTGTTTCGGAAGATCGTGCAAGAAGAAGGCGTAGCTTTCACGGCTTCGAAAATGAGGACCACAATCAGCAACTAAGTGGAGCTTCTTCACTTTCTCCCAACCATATGCGGGTTTGGTCTTGACTGTTTCAAGGATCTTTGTTAGCATAAGCTTTGCTATTTGGGAGTCGTGATCCAAAACATCAGTCACCAGCAGGAAGTGCGTGTTGCGACGGCCAGGGGCATGCACGGTACATCCAAAGACAGTAAGACTAAGCTTATTTTGAGCATGCCACTCATCTCCAGTCTCTTCCTGCGACATGGGATACCTGACATTTTCTTTAAAATCAAAATGCAAGTAAGCCTCTGTGTCTGACAAATTGTCCAGCAAGGTCTTTGTAGAGTTGCTTTGTCGGTCAGCAGACGTACGGTGCCAGAGGTACGCTTCCAAGAGCTCACAATGTCCTTTCAACTTATGAGCGGCACGGGCTTCAGCATCGAAGAGAGCAGCACGAACGCGGAGAGGCAGGTTTGTGCGGAGTGGGTCCCTTTCAGGATGCGAAGCACGCGCGTTGATGTACTGATGAGCATGCAGAACAACTTGGGCGGATGGTTTTTGCACACAATTTGCAGCAAAGGCTGGGTCAGCATCTAGTTCTTTGAAGTAGTCAGGGCAATGCTCGGATATCTTGCGGCGCCTTTTGTGGTATTCTGCTTCAGCTCTGGGCGCTATTTTGCGTTTCAACATGCGACAGTGAGAACACACATCTGTTTTACGACCTGGTTTTCGGACTTGACGGTAATGACTGCGACAAATTTTGCGGAACGTAGTGAAACCCATGTTTTTCCGAAGATCAGGCTCCACCTTCCAAATGCCCCAAAAAGTTTTCGAAAGCAACTTGGCACAAACCAAAGTTTTCTCACCCTGCTGCCGTATACAAACAACCTTGGATGAATCCTTGACGTACTTGCCCAAGATGCCTCCAACGAACTTGATGCATTCCTGATCATCAACTTTTGTTTTGCGACCAACGCGTGATGATGAGGCTGCAGTGGTGTCATCGGGGGATTTTGCGTGCCTGTACTGTTTGACTCCAATGTTGTAACCGTGCTGGTTCAGAACCGGGCGCGGGAAACCACAAGAGACGATGGATTTGTCCAAGGATGCTACGGAAATTTTCTGCAAGTGCAACTGGCTATTGTGTTTGCAAGCTTCCTGGCGCAAAGTTCCACAAGCTTCCAGCAATGCCACCGATTGCTGCTCGCTAATCACAGGGGGATCCTCATTCCAACCAGGCAAGACCTGACCAGTTTGTCTTTGTATTCTGTCAGCTATTAATTTCAAGAGTTCAGCGGCTTCATCAGGAGAAGAACATTTGCTCATGATTTGGTCAGCATGGCTATTGACAAGTTCTCGGCGATATTTTGGGGTGAAATCTTCCCAAGTTTTTTGGTGCGTGGTCTTCATACCGACGCCCGCGACAAAGGAGAAACATGGATACTTTGAACCATTTCAAACCTGTATTTTCAGGTTTCAGCGGGGTAAACTATGTTATACCCAAATAGACTGATAAATACAGGTTATCAGCCGTAGTCTCTAAAGCCATGGACAAATCACATGATGCTACAGGTGGTGGTGGTGCTCTCGTACCTGCATCAGGAACAATGGCGACTGCATCAACTGGATCTCAGCCTGCGACGGCTGGGGCAACTCCCACGCCCATGTCGGTAGATGAAGGTTTCTTCACACAGCCCGTCCAGGCATATTTTCAGTTCGTGCAGAACAATCTTACCTATATCAATGAAGGTAACATTGACGCTTTCAGACAAGAGGCAGAAGAGAGACACACACATCTCATGGAACAAAAGGTCCAGCAACTGTACCAAGAGTTTGAGGGAATTTGCCTTAGTGAAATCGCCCATCAACGTGCAGAAGCTGATCGTAGACATGAACACCTAGTGTCAGAGTATTCAATGTCCCAAACGGCAACTGAGCATGAGGTCGCAAAACTGAGACAGGAACTTAGCGATGCAAACGCGAAGCTGAAGAACGCTGCAAATGCATTGCACTGGAAGCTGAGCAAAGAGCAAACCAAAAGGTAGCCCATGTTACAGCCCAGTACGAACAAAGGTTTTCTGAACTCAGAGGTAGCCTCGAGGCAGGCTGTAAACGAATCGTGGACGAAACAGTGGAGTATGCAAAGAATGGCATGGAAGGTTTCAAGAAGGAGGAACAAGCTGTAATCCAGGAGATTAGAGAGGAATGCAGTAGGCAGGAAAACCAAGCTGCTGAACTCAACTATCAACTGCAGGGACAAGTGGAGGATTTGATGGAGAAGCTCAACAAGTACAGCGCCCCTGAAATCAAGGTCGACAGAGCCATCGAAGTTGATGATGCACAAGGCGGGAACAATGTCGATTTGTACTTGACCCCAAAATCAGCGGTCGGTAACAAGGCTGGAGCAGAACCCATGCCAAACACTGGTATGAGCAGCTTAGCCATGGACGCTAAAGAAAGATTGAGCAACTTATTCTCAACAACCCCTGCCGGATCAGCAGCACCTCCAAAACTGCCACCATTGCCAGTTCAAAGACAAAATGATGATGATGCAAACCAAGAACAAAGTGTGCCCAGTCCTACAGCAATAGCAAGCGACACCGGCAAGAAAGCTGCTGATGCAGGCTTAGGTCTTTCAGGTCAACAATTGCTAGATCTCATCACTAGACTGACTTCAAAGGATTCAGATGGTGAAAAGCCCCGAACAAAAGAGGCAAAGACTATCAAACTGAACGACATGCCTGCCCCGGAAGCGTATCGTCACTGGCGTAATCATGTCAGGGATGAAGTCAAGTCGTGCTCCGACAAACCCGATGAGGCTTGGCTTTGGCTCAATGAAGTCTTTGACAACAAAACTCCTAGGGAAAAGTTGGAGGAAAAGCTACAGGAACCTGGGAAATTCATCACACTTGATACCAAATTGTCGGCAGCGTTAACTCGCTCGGCCAAAGGTGATTTAGCAACGAAGATCCACAACTTCAAAGATGAGAAGTCAAAGAAAGGGATCCAAGTTAGAGGTAGGAGAGTCCTTTTGATGTTTGAAGACTACTTCAGGACGTCTGAGGAAGCTGGCAGTCTCTATCGCGAGGAGGACCTACTTGGAGTCGTTCGCACTGGAGAATCCGTGGAGGACCTTAGAAGGTTTCTGAACCGATGGGACGCCACAATCGCCGGCATGGAAACCCCGCCAGATGACTTGGTTCTCAGAGACATCCTACTTAGACAAATCCGAAAATGCCAATTGATGAAGTATGACATTGAAGCATTCGACAGAGCTCCTGAAAAGTCGGAACAGAAGTCTTATGCATTCTTATTGAGAAACATTCGTGATCTTTTGGATAGAGAAAGGCTCCGTTCAAACAGAAACAGAATCGTTGAAAAGAATAAACAGACCGAAAAGCCTCAGCCCGCTGCACCCGCTCAGGGGGGCAAAGATCGCGGCAAAGGAAAGGGTGATCGAGGTCGATCCCGTGGTCGAAGCCAGAGTGGAAAAGGGGATAAGATATGTTACAAGTTCAGGGATGGCAAGTGCGAAAAGGGTAAAGACTGTCCCTACAAGCATGTCAAAGATTCCTCAAGATCTGGCACCCCCAAGAAGAAGGGTAAGGGCAAAGGCGGTAGCAGAAGTGGTTCCCCTAACAGAAAGTCAAGGGAAGAGATGGCCAAAATCCCATGCACTTACTTCCAACAGGGCAAATGTCGTCGTGGTGACAAATGTTTCTACAAACATGAAGTTGCAGCTGCACCCACAAAGGATCCAAAGCGCACTAATAGCCCTGCACCAAAGAAGAAGGCCAGTGCAAAAGCTGCGCCATGCATTACTCAAAGGTATGCATGCATAGCAAAGGGAAAGGGGTTGCCAAAGGCTACAAAGGCCATGAAAGAACAATGCCATAGAGCTGTTGTATTTTCATCAAAAGTGGAATACATCAAAGTACCAGCAACAGGTGAACAGAGAAAGGTAGTGCACAAACCCCGAATCTATGAGAAGACGTTCCCCGATTCAGAGTCAGTGCCAAAGCCGGAAAAGCTCACTGCTCACCGTGCTCAGGTTTCGGCCAGACAGTTGCAGGAACTTGTGAAGCTCTTCGGCAACGATGTGCAGCCCAAATGCCGTTTCCGATGTAACGACCCCGAAGGTGGAGTCTCATGTAACCACTGCAGAGCTCTGATCGGTCCAAAGAACAAACTCAGTAACACTCATTTGCCAACTGTCGCCACTCCTGCTTCAAAAGACGGATGTGTTTGGTTGGTTGATACCGGTAGTGAACAGGACCTGATGAGTGAAGGCATGTTGAAGACTGCAAAGGCAACAAATCGCCGTGTCAGTGACACTCCAATCAGTCTTGCAACAGCCAACGGTTCGACACGTGCGGATGAGGTGGCCGACGTAAAGGTCGATGCCCTGCACCAGCCGTTCTCACCATACATTCTTGAGGAAACTCCTGCTGTTCTTTCGGTCGGGGTAAGATGTATGGAACAGGGATACAGCTTTGTTTGGCCGGCTGATGGTAGGCCTTACTTCATTCGTCCGGATATGGGAGTCATCGAGCTTAACGTAGACGGCCGTGTGCCAGTT